GAATTAAGTGTTCCCCATCTCACCATGCAAGAGAGGACTTCTCACTCCTGTAAACTCAAATAGCACTTGCTGATTTCTATTTTTTTTTCCTTGAGATGGAGTCTCACCTCTGTCACCTAAGCTGGAGTGCCAGTGGCATGATCTCGGCTCACTGCAACCTCCGCCTCCTGGGTTCAAGCAATTCTCCTGCCTTAGCCTCTGGAGTAGCTGGGATTATAGGCACCTGCCACCACGCCAGACTAATTTTCGTATTTTTAGTAGAGTGTTTTGTCATGTTGGCCAGACTGGGCTCGAACTCCTGACCTCAGGTGATCCACCTGCCTCATCCTCCCAAAGTGCTGGGATTACAGGCGTTTTAACCACCACCACCAAATAACCCCAAAACCATACCCAAAAATACACTGTAAATATCATCGCAAGGTACTAAACAAGTGCTGGTAAACACTAAATAACTCAAATGACCTCTATCTGGGAATGGTTGACTACTTCATGGGTGTAAATGTATGGAGTCAGATATCAGATGGGCCAAGATTCGGATCAGATATTCTGTCATAAGGAAGTAACTAGGAAATAGCTAAAAACTTGTTTTCTAACTTAAGAAAAAAATTAGTACCTGGCACAATGGTTCACACCTACAATACCAGCTGAGGCAAGAGGATGGCATGAGGCCAGGAGTTCAAGATCAGCCTAAGCAACATAGTGAGATCCCAGCTCTAAAAACATTAGAAAATTAAAATTAGCCAGGCATGTTGACACGTGACTGTAGTCCCAGCTACTCTGGAGGGTAAGGTGAAAGGATCGTTTGAGCTCAGGTGTTCAAGGCTGCAGTGACTTATGTTAATGCCACTGAACTCCAGCCTGGGCTGTGAGATACTGTCTCACTTTACAAATATTAGCAATGCTGCCTCATTCATTCACTTAATATTTCTTCAACATCTGTTGTGTGATGGGCTCTGTGCAAGTCGATCAACTGCACACAGCTGAAGAAAAAAACACATAAACAAAATCAACAGTTCTAAAATACCAACAGTATTCATTTAAAGGCATGTACTATACTCACTGTGTTCCACAATATATGCTCCATAAATATAATTCCTCCTCTTTTCTGGACATCACTTAGAACCCTAGAACTCTGGCGCTTTTTTTTTTTTAATCCGAGAGGTGGTAGTCTGATTTTCACACATCCTTGTTTCCATCTCAACAAGTGCCTGTGCCTTCTGTGGTCCAAGGATAAGTTTCCTTTTAGCTTTCAACAACGTACAACATGCAGGAAAAAAAAGGAATTCAGAATATCTATACAAATAAAAAAGAGTATCTGAGCAACTAGCAAAGTGCAATACTACATCTGCCATTTTTAAGTATTCAAAGTTTTCACAACACTTTCTGCAGAAAATCTTGAAATCGAAAAGTCTAATGAGGCACACTGACTGGATTTCAGAGTGTCATTTTTAAGCTCAAATTTTGAAATCATTATGTTCAGACAAGGTCCTGTGTCATCATGAACCTAGCCAAGGCCTCCGCAATATATTCTTATTTTTCTTTACAAGGTTATTTTACCTGAGCAGTTTACACTTCTGTGCTAAAAGCACTTAATATTATTTTCAGCTTCGTTGTGACACTACTGAGTAGGATCCACACTGACGACACATCAAATATTAGCGATCAGATTCTCTCTTCCTTTCAGAGGCATCAACTAAGTGGTCAAAAACTGGTATCACATGACGCTGAAAAAGTTACAACACAAATATCTTATTTCAGGCTCAGATGTCATTCTCCCACTACAAAAGTCCCATGAAAATATACCTTGCTTTATTACATAAAATTCATGTACTAAGCATTATTATGTGTATGGACAAGATGAAGAGAATTGAAATGCAAATATAAGACAGAATCAAGCAATGTATTATCGACCAGAAAACATGCATTTAAAAACTTCAACCCATGGCCGGGCACAGTGGCTCATGCCCGTAATCCCAGGACTTTGGGAAGCTGAGTCGGGTGGATCACCTGAGGTCAGGAGTTTGAGACCAACCTGGCCAACATGGTGAAACTGTCTCTACTAAAAATACAAAATTTAGCCAGGTGTGGTGGCCCACACCTGTAATCCCAGCTATTCAGGAGGCTGAGGCAGGAGAATAGCTTCAGACCAGAAGGTAGAGGCTGCAGTGAGCCAAGATCACACCAACCACTGTACTCCAGCTTGCACAACAGAGCGAGACTCTGTCTCAAAAAATAAAATTAAATAAATAAATAAATAAATAAATAAATAAATAAAAACTTCAACCCATGGATTATAAGTGACTACCTGCTGAAATCAGTGAAGGTAGTATCAGAGGTAAACATATCAGGTAAAGGGTGTTTTTCCTAAGCTTTGAAATGAGATCATGAAAATTCTAGTCAAGCAACACTATTTCACATAACTATCAATGTAAATCAGTTTCCACTTGTAATACTCTATTACAAGAACCTATAAAAGCAAAATACCGTATGTTAATAACAAACTTCTGAAATCTGACATCATAATTAAGGAATGAGTTCACGAAAGCAGGGAGCTCCCTAAGCAACTTTCAGAATCTTTTTAATTCCAAGCCAAGATTACCTATCATATAAAAACAGAATACCTCAAATACTTCATTACCTATTTTAAGGTAGCAAAATTTTTATCCCAAAATTCTATCTGAAATTATTCTATAACCTACAATGAAAGCATATGTCAAACATGATGTGCAACATGAATATATTTATGAAGTCACTTAATGAAATGTGTATCAGGAAATCAGAAAGTTGTTGACCAACCATGTTTTGGATGAGAAATATGTGTGTGTGTATATATATATTTTTTGTTGTTGTTGTTGTCGTTCGTTCGTTTGTTTTTGAGACGTAGTCTCACTCTGGAGTGCAGAGGCTGGAGTGCAGCGGTGCTCCAGGCTCCACGCTCCAGGCTGGAGTGCAGTGGCTCTATCTTGGCTCACTGCAAGCTCCACCTCCCACGTTCACACCATTCTCCTGCCTCAGCCTCCCGAGCAGCTGGGACTACAGGTGCCCACCACCACGCCAGCTAATTTTTTGTATTTTTTAGTAGAGATGGGGTTTAACTGTGTTAGCCAGGATGGTCTTGATCTTCTGACCTCGTGATCCGCCCGCCTTGGCCTCCCAAAGTGCTGGGATTACAGGCGTCAGCCACCACGCCCAGCCACATGTATGTATTTTAATGCAAGAATGTAGGATGATTTTTAAGTAACACCAAGGATTAACTACCAAGAATGTTTTAAGACGGGTACGTTGATGTGTGTCCCTAGTGGAAACATGCAAAAGCTTAGACTAGCATTCCATAACAAAAGATTCACCATACTCAATTATACTATCTATATCCCAAGTTTTCTTCTATTATATCATCACAATCAGGATTCTCAAAAAGTCCAGGAAGCACCAAAGAAAATGTATTATCACCAAGCAAAATAACTACAAGCAGCAAGCATCTTGTGGAATCTAGAGTTCTTATAACTTACCTTTAACTCATGCAACAGGCCATATTTAATTAAAAAGGTCCTGAAAACAGGTTTTCTTCAAATATGCTGCATAATCACTCATGCCAAAATCTAAGGGCCATCCACACCAGCAAACCAATGCAAGGAGAAATGCTTCCCCTCCAAAAACAAACAAAAAAGTATAATTAGAAGTAGCTCCAGAGCAGTACAGGAAGAACTCACAGGTTGCTCTACATACTACCCCACGGTTTGTAGAGGAAAAGTATTTGTCTTTTCATCAGTCAATTTGTGTGAACTGAGGAGCTCTGTCTTCAAAGATCCAGATAAAGTACTTTGGTTGTGGCTTTGGTAAATCAAGAGGTTTAACATTTACAAATTCTGAGAACACTGATGTCACACCTGTATTATATAACTCCTAAAGCAACTAGGCTTGGCCTCTTTATTTTCCTTACCTGAGAGTGGCCATTAATCCAAGAAGCTATTCCGGCAGAGACCATATCAAGTCAGTAACAGGAACTGCTGTTACTCTGATAGTTCCTTTTCCTTGAGTAATTACCGTCTGCAAGGATGTGATTTAAAAGATGGAAAAGGTGACATTCACAACCACTCCTGGTAAATTCAAGAGAAAAAATGTAACTCCAATCAGTCTATCAGTATTATCATGGAGCTAACACCAATCTCTATAGTACCTGGTAATCAACTGTTACAATCACTATGAATCATTCCCTTGCTGCCTACTATAAACTTTAGCTGCAAAACCTAAAAATCTCTTCCCTTTTATGAATGGCTTCTTTGTCCCGTAACCAACTTGAACTGGACCTAGAGACTCGGGAATTCCTGAACTATTTACTCCCAATTTATCACTTAGTGACACCACTGAACCTAACTGTAATTTGTATTTCAGTGCTCCAAGTATGGTTTAGTGTGTCAGTTATCTCTATTATCAGTGATACAACTTATTCGCTCAAATATGCAACCTCCTGCCTCCCAGCACCCAGGACCTTCCACTCATTTAGTAATTTATAAATAAATACTTACTCAATGGTAGAAAATGATTATTCCAGTATCACATCCTCTATTGTGATCACAGGGCACTGTAAAACCTGATCAACTGAGGTCAACATCCCAAGAAAAAGAGTAACTTCTATTTCAAAAGCCTTGATACGTAACGAGCATGATCGTGATTCATTACAATTTCCTTCAGTATATAGGTGGCCTTACAAGGGCTTTCATCCCATCCCCACTTCCCTTCAGATAACATGACTTAGTAACAGGAGAAGCAGGAGGCCACGTGGGAAGCAGCACAACCACTTAAAACCCCCTGGGTCATGAAAACATTATTAACCAACACCAGTCAATGCACAAAGTGAAAGTTAGAAAGCAGAAAACCTTTTTATCCTAAGAATGAAAGAGAATATGATTTGAATCTACTGCTTAATAGGCATCACCTCATCCACAGTAACTTAAGATCTCATCAAAATCAACAGGCAAAAAAATATATACAACAGTACCTCACAGTTTAATTGCTCTATGCATTTATTATTAGCTATTATTAATGCAGAATGAGGGGACAAAAAGCTCACAAACACTCTACACAATTTCACAAGACGCATTGCAGGGGGAAAAGTGACTGAGATGGATCAACAGTATGCTAGGGTCTTGGTGGACGCATTCCTGGGGGAGGTGGACCTGGAAAGGAAATAGAAACATTGAGAAAAAGAGGATACACATATTCAGGGGCCTGGCTGAACCATCAAGCCCCTATGCTCCCACTCACCTCTAATTCCTGGTGGAGGGGGTCTCATTCCCGGAGGGGGCATGCCTATTGGCGTCCCTCGAGCAGGGGGAAGCCCAATTGGTGGGCCCATGGGTGGTCTCATACCAGGTGGAGGAGCCATAATGCCTGCGATGAAAAATGGTAGAAATAAAGGCCTTATAAACCGGCTTAGAAAAGCTGTTAGAATTTAGCCCAAATAATCCCTAAAGAAATGGGCCAGACAACAGTGATAAGAGTCAAATAATTTCTAAATGACAATTACTCTCCTACGTCTTTCATTAAACACCAGTACCTAGAAGAGGGAGGAAGCATATGCCCCGGATTCTGAGTTAGGCCCTCAGGCTGTGTCTTAAATCAGTAAGCTCTCTCTAGTCAGAGATTCAAATTCGTCTTAATGTTCACCAATCCCTTACCTGGAGGTGGGGTTGCTCTGCCAACAGGTGGGGGCGGAGTCCCCCGTCCTGGTGGGTACTGTGTTGGGGCTCCAGCAATGCTGGCGGTGGCAGCAACGGCAGCAGCTGCTACAGTGCCTCTTCCCTGTGGAGTCATTACCTGAGAAGGCAAGGGGAGAAACCAACAAAGTGATACATACCTTCACGTTATTCAAACACAGAAAATAAATGAGAAAAATGACCAATTAGATACAAACAACTGTTGCAATGTTGTACTTCTCTCATTATTCCCATGGTTTTTTTTTTGAGACAGTTTCACTCTTGTCACCCAGGCTGCAATGCAATGGTGCAATCTCAGCCCACTGCAGCCTCCCACTCCCGGGTTCAAGCGGTTCTCCTGTCTCAGCCTGCTGGGTAGCCGGGATCACAGGTGCCCCCAACCAGGCCCAGCAGTTTTTTGTACTTTTAGTAGAGACGGGGTTTTCACCATGTGGGCCAGGCTGGTCTCCAACTCCTGACCTCAAGTGATCTGCCCACTGTGGCCTCCCAAAGTGCTGGACTACAGGCATAAGCCACCGCACCTGCCTCTTCCCATATTTTAAAAACTAATCTTAGTACACTGACATCCACAAAGCCCTTTGATCTTTTCAACTGAGGTATATCCAGGCATTCCGTTCACTCACCACTAGTGGCAAGTTACTCTTACCAAGAGTAACTCGGGTAATTTTAATCACCCAATGACCATTTTAAGTAGCTAGTTTTATTCCCTTCCTCCTGTGTATCTGTCCGTTGGTTCCTCCTAGACCATATGCCCTTTACGTAGTATGACATGTACACTCAGGTTTTTAAATCTCCTCGGCCTCTGGCTTAGTCACATTCTCCCAATATAAAACCCTCCGCTGGTTCCTCACCTGCTGGGACGGTCCCCCAACTCCTCGGACAGGGCCTGCCAATCCAGCAGGGGCCTGGGGAATTGGCACACCAGCTGGTACTCCTCTACCAGCTGCCCTACCAACCCCAGGGCCTCCAGCAGCTCCAGCAAGTGGTACCCGAGCAATGCCAGTCTGAAACAAGAAAATGTATAGCCTAAAATCAAACAATTTACAAGTTCTCAGTATTTTTATGCATCAGAGATCACTTCTCTCCACCATTTTCCCAGACACTTATCTCGTATTAGTTCTGTATCCAAATGAACAAGCAAGTATACCATGGAGGTATCTTGTGGATAAAATGCGCATTATTTGTCAAATTGTGAAAACAGCTCTTTTATAAACATACCAAGCAAACATGAATCAGCAACTCCTACCCTCACCTAGGTAATGCCCAGCACACAGAATAATTCACCAAAAAACCCTTAATCCCAAATAGCATAGGCAACCAACAATTGATACTAAGTGCTTGGCACATTTGACAATCCATGTTAAACTGTGTCTGTGCTGTACCGTGATTTCAGACATCTCACATAATATGATGTCCTTGCAAATTAGAGTTCTGTCCTGCTCTACATCTTCCTTACATCTTTGGGGGGTGGCCCCTCCACAGTCATGGATACCAAGTTCTCCCCACGCAGCAACACCAGACCCAAAACCCGCTTTTCTTCACGCTCTGGTTGCTTCGCATTCTTTGGCCTACAAATCAGAATTAAATTTTAGTGAGATAATTTTAGTGACCCCTAGATTACTCACTCATCAAAATATTTATACAACCTCAAGTATCAATTAAGGCAACCGATGCTAAACAGATATTAAGTTATCACTGAAAAACAAACCAAAAAAAATCCGTAAACAGTTAATATAAAAGGGTAAATAGTAAAGCTGTTTTCTGATCTAACTTTAGTCTTTTACAGAATGTTCCTTTGATGTTAACACTACAACAAGACGAATTTCTTTTGTAAAACGCCTTTTAAGGAAAACAAAGTTGAAACTTCGGTTTCCATATTAAAATGGAAATTTCTTTAAAAAATTACTTAAATAATTAAATCATAATGACAGGGTGACACAACTGAAATAATGCGAACAGTAATAGGCAAAGAGAGGATAACAAATAGCAACCATATCCCAACTCCTCAACCGTGAAGAGCAATTATTATTCTCTATTTCAACCCAGATTTATTCAGTCTAAGACTGCTGCAGAAGCCAACCAATTAATTAACAATAGCATTTTCCTCAATTTTAAAAATAAATATAACTTAATATTTTGAGCACAACATACACTTTTATTCCCAGTAATAAATCCATGATTGTCTCACAAACTTAAGAGTTTATATGCAGACTCTGACCTAATTCAGAGATCAGGTCAAGAGGTGAAACAATAGACTGGCTCTACCTTAGCTTCCCTACCTACCTCAGTTACCCTTGGAAATCCCTTACTCCAGCTCTGGCCTTCCCTTCCCACTGCCTCTGCGTCCAACCCCCATTTACCCAAATCAGCTTACTTGATCTTTCTGAACTCATCACAATCACAGAGGATCAAATTCATATGCTTGTCAAAAGCCTTAAAGGTGCCAATGAAGATTCGGCCATCTTGTAGGATACATCTCATTCTATAGTCAATGTGCTGCAGCATCTTGCTACTCTTGCCCACAGTCTGGAAGCAGTAAGACAAGAGTCATGTTCAGGTTGCCAACACCCTAGTCTTCTAATCTTCTGTTTCTTCTCCGCCCTTATATAATCCAAGCCTGGTTTCCTTAACTAAACAAATATTCTCTCCTACTTTTTCACCAACATTCTTCCATATTTTGTATGAGTCTCTGGAGGACCACGAAGGATTATGAAGTATTTTTTCACATCTCAAGAACCAATTTTCACCTCCTTAGGGGTGATTATTCTTCTCTTAGACAATGCATGCTGTAAACTGTCCACTCCCCTAACTAAACCAAACCACAATGATTAGGGTGTTCTCTCTCTCCAGACTGCTTTTCTCTGTACTATTAATGCCAAAACCCTTCCATTTTCAAAGTCCTCTTTATTTCTATTGTAATCTGACCTGAGAGTCCATCATCTGTAGGATAGTCCTTCACCACTGGTGGAATCATGACCAAATACTCCTGTATTTTCTCACATCATAAAACATTTCTCACGGCCAGGTACAGTGGCTCACGCCTGTCCCAGCACTTTGGGAGGCCGAGGTGGGTGGATCACTTGAGGTCAGGAGTTTGAGACCAGCCTGGCCAACACGGTGAAACCCTGTCTCTAATAAAGAGGCTGAGGCACAAGAATCTCTTGGACCCAGGGTTGTAGTGAGCCTGGGAGACAGAGCAAGACTCCGTCTGAAAAAAATAAAAAAAATCAGCTCATCTCCCGCTGATACTCAGTGCAATGAGAATCTATATCCATGGATGTATACTAACATTCAGAACCCAAAATCACTGCACATGCTGGCAAACTCTTTCTTTCAGCCCTTACATCACGTTTTCAACCCTCAGCCTTATTGTACAGCTTACCATGATTGCTGTTCCACCAAATCCAATGTCCACAGTTAAAACTTGGTGCTTCTGAAGACCTAGGGGAAGGCTATAGATAAAGGTATGATGCAGGTTCTCCTAAAAACAATGCAAGCTGGGCAGAAGCTTCAAAGAGTAGACGGAGCCTGCAGAGAAAAGCATGTTAAAGCTGCACTGCAATCTACCATATTTTAAAACAGGCATGAAAATCACTATGACAGACATATTCAAAAACATCCTTCCTCTCATACTAGCTTCCTCACCAAGGGACTGCCAAATTTCACTAGTCCCATTTTTAACTGTCACATTTGACACACTTAGGACTGATGAAACTCATTGAATTTTATTTTACCTAGTAATTCCTAGATGTTTCAAAAATTAAGCTTCATTTTCCAAAATTTAGTATTTTTCTTTCCATCTTCATTTAAGGTAGTGTGTCTCTCTCTAGTACAGAATTCATATCAAGTCATCTCTGTATCAACATCTCAATTACTCTTTCATTCAGATTTTTCCTTTTTCCTGAGATATCTTATGTTGTCATTTGCAACATTCTTTCTTCCCCTAAATTCACTTCAAGATGATGGCAAGTAATCTTTCCCCACTAAGAGCCAAATGTGTTATAAACCTGCCTAAGACTTCCCATGTCAAAAGAGGATACACAACTATGGAATATATATATATATAGACTCACATAAACAACTTTCATACATCATGTAACGAAGGACAAAGTTATAAATCACGTTAACGACTGGGTTCGGTAGCTCATGCCTGTAATCCCAGCACTCTGGGAGGCCAAGGCGGGTGAATCACCTGAGGTCAAGAGTTTGAGACCAGCCTGGCCAACATGGTGAAACCCCATCTCTGCTAAAAACACAAAAAATTAGCCAGGCATGGTGGTGGGCGCCTGTAATCCCAGCTACTCGAGAGCCTGAGGTAGGAGAATCTCTTGAACCTGGGGGGCAGAGGTGGCAGCGAGCCGAGATCGTGCCACTGCATTCCAACCTGGGCAACAAGAGGGGGCAACAAGAACAAAACTCCATCTCAAAATAAATAAATAAGTCACGTAACAATGGGGATACCTGAGGAGAAATGCACTGGGTGATTTTATCATGGTATGAACAGTGTACTTACACAAACCTAGAGGATACACAGAGAGTCTACTATACTCTTAGGCTATATGGTAGATCCTACACTACAAACCTGTACATCATGTTACTATCCTGAATACCATGAACACTCACAATACAATGTTAAACAGAGAAGAGGCTGGGTGTGGGGGCTCATGCTGGTAATCCCAACACTTTGGGAGACCGAGGTGGGCGGATCACCTGAGGTCAGGAATTCAAGACCAGCCTGGCCAACATGGTGTCTCTACTAAAAATACAAAAATTAGCTGGGTGTGGTGGCGGGTGCCTGTAATCCCAGCTACTCAGGTGGCTGAGGCAGGAGAATCATTTGAACCCAGGAGGCAGAGTTTGCAGTGAGCTGAGATGGTGCCACTGCACTCCAGCCTGGGCAACAGAGCAAGACTCCATCTCAGCGGGGAAAAAAAGAGAAAAGGTACAATAAAAACATGGTTTTGTAATCTTAAGGGACTGCCATCACACATGCAGTCTGTTGGTGACTGGAATTGTTATGCAGCTCATGACCGTAATCAAACATGCATACTGTTTCCCTTTTCTCCATAATTTAAAAAATGCTATTAAATATGGCAGCCAAATCTAGCCCGAATTGTAAAAGGTCTCAAAGTGCTTATCATACTAATTTAAAAATGGAACACAAATTACTTTTGAAAGGATTCAAAAGTATTCCTTTGAGCCGAGATCACACCACTGCACTCCAGTCTGGGCAGCAAGAGTGAAACTCCATCTCAAAAAAAAGGAATACTCTAATGCCTGGCTGTCATTCAGTGGCCATGAATCTGATGTCTGTACATTTAAAAAAGTATTAAATAAAACTTACAAAGATCTTAAAAGAACTTTTCAAATAAGCAAACAAAGACCCTCACAAAAATTAAATGTAGTTTCTGACCTATATATAACGAGTAACAGAGTTTAAGGCCCATAAACAGAAGTTTTGAATATTATGATTCTTTATAAAGCAGTCTAAATCCAAGAAAACATGGTATGTGAGACTCAACAGCAATATCCTTTTGTTTGTTTGTTTGTTTTGAGATGGAATCTCGTGCTGTCACCCAGGCAGGAGTGTAATGGCACAATCTCGGCTCATTGCAGCCTCCACTTCCCGGGTTCAAGTGGTTCTCCTGCCTCAGCCTCCTGAGTAGCTGGGAATACAGGCACCTGCCACCATGCCCGGGTAACTTTTGTATTTTTAATAGAGATGAGGTTTCGCCATGTTGGCCAGGCTAGTCTGGAACTCCTGACCTCAGGTGATCTGCCGGACTTGGCCTCCCAAAGTCCTGGGATCACAGTGAGCCACCACGCCCGGCCAGCAATATCCATTTTTATAGCATTGCAACACTTGGGACCTTCAGCCACCCAAAGAGACAACGAGGATCATGACTGTGAATGAGCATGACAGATCTTACTGTGCTGATGAAAATGTTTCCTGAGTAGTTCATGTCAATGATTGCACAGTTCTATAAATTTACTTAAATCATTGTTTCATGCACTTGAATTGGGTGGATTTTATGTTTATCAGCTCTACATCACTAAGGCTGTTTTTAACCCATTTATGCCAGAGGTTGGAATTTTTTTGTGAAAAATCAGACCTTGGCGATGACTTTGAGCAGTAGGATATAAATAACTCCCACAAGCTTAGCAGTCCATATGTATGAAATACATCTAGGGATGCGAGTTATGGCCCAAAGAACTGAAGACCTAGAGATTTAGGGATAGATTATTTTAAATATATATATTTTATATATTATATATATTTTGCATATATGTGTGTGTATATATGTCATAAACAATATAATAAAATGAGAACCTGTATAGATAGAAGAGATACATGTTTCACTCACAACAGGAGCTGACCTCCTACAGCAGTTAAAAGGATTCCTTTAGGAGACAGATATGAAATTTACAAACAGTTCTCTCTCATCCCTAAATGTGATACAATGTAGTCATGACCTTGTAAGTGAAACAAAATAAATCACTGCTGGGTGGTCAAATTTATCTTTATAGCACAAGAGAACAAAACTTCAAGAGAAAGGAGACAACAGTAGCAACATCACACTGCAAGGATGGATCAGCAGTCACAGTGTATCTTCGGAGATCAAAGGACACATAAACAAATAAACCAACTGGTATCCCTCACGGAAGCACAAGTTCTCAAACTTTAGGAAACTGTAGACATTCAAATGATTAAACTGCATAAAAATATAAATCTACTTTAATTCAAAAGTAAAATAAGATGACTAGGGTTGGACAAAGCACATATAGCAAAAAGTAAACTAAGATGACTAGGGTTGGCCAAGGTACACATAGCAAATGAGAGACACCACAGAGTATCGATATTCATGTTAAAATTTAAAATTATAGAGGGTCTCCGTAGAGATCCTCCATCGAAGAGTATGCAAAAACAAGTGACAAAACTAAATACAAAATATTAATATGCAATAATTCCAATTAAAAACACAAGAAAACAAATTTCCTTTATTGGAAAGGTTTAACAAAAACAGAAGAACACCAGAATACAAAGGGTGTTACTGAGAAACTAATGGTCTACTAATTTTTAGTAGTAATCAATACTTCTCATGATGTGTTTAGAAAACAATGTAACAAAAACGTTTAAAAGTCATACTACTAGTACACCCTGCATCCCAACTACTAGGTAAGCATCCAACTGGATATGTACCCTAGTAAATATTTAGGTACCAAACAAAAATAGAACATTCATAACACAATGTTTTTGTTTTTGTTTTTTGACATAGAAGTATTGCTCTGTTGTCCAGGCTGGAGCACAATGGCACAATCTCTGCTCATTGCAACCTCTGTCCCCAGGGTTCAAGCAATTCTCCTGCCTGAGCCTCCCCAGTAGCTGGGATTACAGGTGTCTGCCACTATACCCGGCTAACATTTGCATTTTTAGTACAGACAGGGTTTTGCCATGTTGGCCAGGTTGGTCTCAAACTCCTGACCTCAGGTGATCCACCTGCCTCGGCCTCCCAAAGTGCTAGGATTACAGGCGTGAGCCACCACACCCAGCCACATAATAGTTTATTTTCCTATTTTTCCTGGTCATAATGTGCCTTACATTTTTAATGAAAAAGGGTACCAAGTGTTTAAATGTCATTAAGACTACCCATCTTCCTCCACAGCAGGCTTTAACATGACTTAGACTGATCCCTTCCCCAAGAAATTCATCTGATTGTCTACCGTGTAATGTATACTTCATGCATATTTCTATAATCCATTCTTCATCACCTTCTATGACATTATGACTATATTCACTGGCCCCCACTTTGGTGTTTTCTTCTTTGAATCTGCTCCTCTAAAACAAAACTCAGCCAATTTTTTTCTTTTAAATAGCAAGATACTAAGTATTTTACACTTTGCCTGTCCTTCAATCTGCCACAACTACTCAAAGCTGCACCACTGTAGCACCAATGTGGCCAAGGATAACATAATAAATGAACTTAGCTGTGTTCCAATAAAATTTCATTTATAGACACAGGTAGTGGTCCAGATATATTACCAACCTGTGTTCTACAGGAATACTAGTAACGGGTAAATATCTGGGTAGAACTAGCAGTTGAGACTAGAATAAGATATAAATAAATACCATAAAATTACATGGTCCTACTTGCAGACTATAATGTATGACTTAAATGTTGTATTTAAAAATTTACAAAAATCTGTGAACTGAACTGAGCTGAAAATTCCTAAGAAGAAAGAAATCAGTTGTGCACCTATTCAATGAAAAATTCCCTTACTCCAGGGAGCAGCTTGGAACAATGATCAGATTCCAATCTGCTTACGCAACTACTAGAAAATGTTGAGTATAAAGGATTCAAGAAAGGAGGATTTCTCAGAAAATTTCTGTCTCCTTTGATTTAAACTCAAAATTGGCCAGGCACAGCGGGCCACGCCTGTAATCCCCGCACTTTGAGAGGCCAAGGCGGGTGGATCACCTGAGCTCAGGAGTTTGACACCAGCCTGAATAACATGGTAAAACTCCGTCTCTACTAAAAATACAAAAGTTAGCCAGGTGCGGTCGGGGGTGCCTGTAATCCCAGCTACTCGGAGGCTGAGGCAGGAAAATCACTTGAACCTGGGAGGTAGAGGTTGCAATGAGCCGAAACTACACCACTGCACTCCAGCCTGGGCGACAGAGTGAGACTTCATCTCTAAATAAATAAATAAGTAACTCAAAATGGTGGCCATAAACAAGCCTCACTGATTCAAGTTGAAGAATAATATTTCAAAAACAGACTTTAAAAAAAGGCTAGAAGAAATTTATCAGTAAACCCAATTCCTCTCTGCTCTTACTTTGTAAAAAGTAAACAGTAAACTCTCAGAAATAAGGGCATTCTAAACTTAAAGTAGAAAAAAAGAAAAATCACAAAGGAAAAACAAGAAAATAAATCAAATCAACTTTGTAATAGCTTTTTCCTAAAAAATGAAAGCAATAACATAAAAAGAAACCAAATAAATCTATATCACATTGAAAATTTATCATATTTTTATTACATTGCTGATTCAAATAGGAAATACATTGGTTAAAACAGAAAAGTGAGAAAAAGACAAAACAAAAAGAATTAGTAAATAAGCATGAGAAAGTATTTAGGTTCTCTAACACTCATTGTTAATTATGTGTTGTATATTTATAATTCACTAGACATTAACTTCGAACTAAAATAATGCTGTGAAAGTATGTTGTAACTGGCCTTTTATTTTTTGAAAGCAATGAATACTAATGTAATACTTTGCAATAAATTTAGAAAAATGTACCTTAAGTTCATATTCCTTGATTCAATTTACTTTTACATCTGCGTATCTGAAAAAATTATTCTACCTTAACTTTTATACAAAGCTATCTACTAAAGCTTTGTTCAAACTACTGGCAGAAAAAAATGACACCTCCCACAAAAGGAAATTATAAAACATTCAGTAACAGGGTATTCAAGAGCCATTTATAGTGAAATACTTTTATATCATTAAAAAAGAAAACTACCTGAAAAACATGCACTACAATAACTGGAATACAGAAACATGACAAAAGTGTCAGGGCAGAAAATTTAAGGTCCCGCTTTTACTTTTTAAAACTTTCTGCAATGTGCTTATTGTATGAAGCTCTAAGGAAAAAAAGTAATGTGTGACTGATAATTAAGAGAACCCCCAACACCCATTCTTTAATGATTCTTTATTCTTGATCATTGCTGCATTAGTTCTAACCTGGTTTTTGCTTGGAATCAGATTCCTCTCTATTCCAATATGGCTTTAACCACCTCTTGGTGTCTCAGCTAAGAATGCCTGCCTCAGTTCAGCCTGGAAATCCACCACAGGTACTTGCTGCTGCTGGGAACGCCTCGGGTACAACTGACACCTACAACAAGAGCACAATATATATAAATGATAGAAGGACATTTGTCTTTATAAGAAACCATGTGAAAGAAAACTAGGGACCCTTACATTTAAGAAGATATTCCTTTTTTTTTTTTTTTTTTTTTTTTTTTGAGACAGGGTCTCATTCTGTTGCCCAGACTGGAGTACAATGATGTAACTTTGGCTCACTGTAAACCCCACCTTCTGGGTTCAAGTGATTCTCCTGTCTCAGCCTCCCAAGTAGCTAGGATTACAGGTGCCCGCCACCACACCCAGCTTTTTTTTTTTTTTTTTTTTTTTAATTGGAGACGGAGTCTCCCTCTGTCACCCAGGCTGGTGTGCAGTGGCGCAATCTGGGCTAACTGCAAGCTCCGCCTCACAGAATCATGCCATTCTCCTGCCTCAGCCTCCCAAGTAGCTGGGACTACAGGTGCCCGCCACCACATCTGGCTAATTTTTTTGTATTTTTAGTAGAGATGAGGTTTCACCGTGTTGGCCAGGCTGGTCTCCAACTCCTGACCTCAGGTGATCCACCCACCTTAGTCTCCCAAAGTGCTGGGATTACATGCATGAGCCACCACACCAAGGCAAGACCTTTCTTTAGGGTCAGAGCATGACACTATCTTATGAGAAATTATAAAACAAAACAGGAATCTCTACACAGAGATTGTGCAAGGGGATTAGTGGATACTTAGATACTTACCAAGTCTAGAAATATTTCCAGAAGAACTAAAAACACAAGGGCTGGTAGCCCTGAAGAAACACCATCAGTTACATATATAGTCACTAACTTTCAAATTATCCTATGTGAACAATCCTTTCTCCCCAGGGGTGAGGAGGGATATGCTGCTAAAGCATTTGCAGGGAGATGTTCAGGCTGTCCTTCATACTGATCCTCCTGACAGATCACTACCTGAATATAAAACTTCCAGGGCTATTTAAGGGCTCTTAAAATATGTAAACCCATCATCTACTGGTAAGCAGGGAATTCCAGAGAAAAGCCCTCAACATACCCCTATGAATGGGTAACCTGGCTGTGAAATCTGATCATGAGAAGGAAGAGATACAGGAAATGACAGTTAGCTTGCCTTCAGGTGAGGAGGTGGAGAATCACTAATAATGCTGCCCTTGTTGGTATGTAAGGATTTGGAAATTGGACTTTTTTCTATAGTTTTTCAGTCACATTTTAAACATGTTTCTGTATAATACAGAATTTAGCTGGTCTTTGCTCCTGGTTCCTGGGAAATAACCTATACATCCTGGGAATTTACCAGGTGAAAGAAATGTGCTTGTTATTCCAGGTGGGTCCCTAGGATCACACCTGAGTTCATGGTAATGAGATGTCTCAAGCTGGTGACTAACCAGGCCACAAAAGATCAAACAAAGATTAAAGGGTTGGGGCTTTGAGCAAGCCCTCCTCGGAGGGCAGGAGAGTTGCTGACTGAATTCAATGACACGTCCAGTGATTCAATCTTGTCAACATAATGAATGCCCAACAAAAGTCCTGGACATCAGGAGTTCTGGTGAGCTTCCTGGTTGGTGATATACACTAGTGGGCAGGTAATGCATCCTGAGGACAGGGAAGCTTTGTGTGGGACCTGCCGGGATTTTGCTCTATGCATCTGTTCATTTGTATCCTTTATAATAAAACTAATATGTATAGCACTTTCTTGAGTTCTACTAGTCATTTAAAAAACCTTAGTCAATTATAAAATCTGAGAAAATAGTAGGACCTCAGAATCTATAGACAGTCAGAAGTGTGGGTGACCTGCCAAACCTGGAGCTGGGACTTGGTGTCTGCATTGAGGAGAATGTTCTGGAAGGCATCTGCACAATTGTGAAATTTGCACTAACTCCAGGTAGTCAGAATTGCACTGCACATACCTTTAAATCTTCACACTCTAATTCATAGTCTACTTTATACTCTAATTCATAGTCTAATTACTGAATAAATCATAATTTGGGCATTCTCCATTCTAACCTCTTTGTTTACAAATGACAACTAAGTCTCTGATTTAATAAAGGTCTAAAAAGTGTTTCAGTCAAAAAAAATCTGTTATCTTGAAACTTAAGAGAATTCTCTATTGCAGTGTCCCCCTCAGATTTAACCTGTAACCCAACAGAAGACTAAAGACTGAGAAAATATGAGGCAGCCTATACAGTATTTAATTCATAAACTGCAGAATATTAATTTGAAAAGACATTTGAAGCTTTGCATAAAATAGATTAAGACAGTCCTCCAGCTCCAATTTCTAATTTCCCTTCGAACTCACAATGCATCATCCAGCCCCAAAGAATAACAACTGATTTAATGACACATACACAGACAGAATAAATAAGAAACTTAAAATAAATCAGTGAACTTTTTATTTTTTTTTTTTTGAGATGGAGTCTCACTCTGTCACTCAGGCACAGCCAACGGCACGATCTCAGCTCACTGCAACCTTTGCCTCCCGGGTTCAAGCGATTCTTCCACCTCAGCCTCCTGAGTAGCTGGGATTACAGGTGCACGCCACCACATACGGCTGATTTTTGTATTTTTCTGGAGATGAGGTTTCACCATGTTGGTGAGGCTGGTCTTGAACTCCTGACCTCAGGTGATCCACCCACCTTGGCCTCCCCAAGTACTGGGAATACAGGCGTGAGCCACCATGCCCAGCCTCCTTCACTGATCTTTAATGCTAATAACCACACAACTCCTCCAGGAACACTGCCTCCCAATATTACTTATGGTTTGGGAGGACGTAGGAGATGAATGGGTAAATATTGAACAATTCTAGTGTAATAATCTAAGTATGCCAATCCTGAGAATCCTAAACACATGGATAATGAGGCAGTGCTAATCAATTCTGCTTACCCATTCCATAATCCAGTCACTCTCAAAATGAAAAGGCACAACTGGGAAAATTATACTATTTCCCTAACTCTGCACTTTCCTCAGATCATTCCCCCTGCAGGTCTCCCTCAAGACCCTGCAGTATTTGTACATATGTATGCAGTGCAGATCAGAAAAAGTCAAGTTATTTCTTCTTCAAAACCATCAAAATGTTTCCATAAATATGGACAAGATGCCTAGAAGGCTTACCTCATCCCACAACAAGATGAGGATGAGAATACCTGTTATTGAGTCCACACTGAGGCTATATAGGAAAAAAACTACAACAAAAATATAGCAAGCTAGAACCTTCACCCACTTAACGGTCCTAAAACTAAGAGTCCTAACCCTCAGCCCTACCTCCACCACAATCTCTGAACTACCTCTAGAAACTCAGGGAATAGTAACGGCACTTCAAAAAAAAAAAGTCAGAGTTACAAAATAATGAAGAGAGAAGCTGGGCGCAGAGAGAAGCAAAGTGCTATAATCCGAGCATTTTGGGAGACCAAGGCAGGTGGATCACCTGAGGTCGGGAGTTTGAACCCAGCCTGACCAACATGGAGAAACCCCATCTCTACTAAAAAATACAAAATTAGCCAGGAGTGGTGGCACACATCTGTAATCCCAGCTACTTGGGAGGCTGAGGCAGGAGAATCACTTGAACCCCAGAGGCAGAGGTTGCACTCCATCCTGGGCAATGAGAGCAAAACTCTTGTCTCAAAAAAAAAGGAATGAAAAGAGGAAAAAAGAGATTACCATATCCAATAAAATGAATGATCGAATAACCTATTATAAAGGACAAATTATACTACACAAAATACTTACAAAATATTTATCAATATACAAACAAAACATACATAAAATGTCTTCCAAAGCAATTTTAAAAATGAAAAGTATATACTCACAAAAATAAAAAACAGCAAAATAAATCAGAAAAAACAAAAAAATCTTTACCCTCACCGTAATTTAAAACTTGCTAACAGATGTTTTACAACTTTTTTTTTCTTTTTGAGACATGATCTCATACTATCACCCACTGGAGTGCAGTGGCACAAACATGGTTCACTGCAGCCTCAGCCTCCTAGGATCAAGTGACCCTTCCACCTCAGCCTCCCAGGTAGCTGAGACTACAGGTAGACATCACCACGCCTGGCTAATTTATTTTTCTGTAGAGAGGAGGTCTCCCTATGTTGCCTAGGCTGGCCTCTACCTGCTGGGTTCAGGTGACCCACCTCAGCCTCCCAACATGCTGGGATTAGAGGCATGAGTCACCACGTCCAGCTCAACTTTTCACATATAAAATGAAGAAATAACAAAAGACACACAAACTACTACCCAGTTTTTACTATGAGGAAAAATCTTTAATTTGAAAAAAAAATAAGTGAGTATTCATACACTGCATTTTCTTTCTTTTTTTTTTCCTGAGACGGAGTCTGGCTCTGTCTCCCAGGCTAGAGTGCAGTGGCGCCATTTTGGCTCACTGCAACCTCCGCCTCCTGGGCTCAAACAATTCTCCTGCCTCAGCCTCCCAAGTAGCTGGGATTACAGGCACGTGCCACCACACTCGGCTAATTTTTGTATTTTTAGGAGAGATGGGGTTTCACCATGTTGGCCAGGCTGGTCTCAAACTCCTGACCTTGTGATCTGCCTGGCTTGGCCTCCCAAAGTGCTGGGGCCACGCCTGGACTACACTGCGTTTTCAAAGTGATTGTTCTTTCGATTGTTAATAGTCAAACAATGCAAACAAACTAAATATCCAGCAGCAAGCTAATGATTAAAATAATAATGTTATCACACCACCCACACTTTGTAAAATAAAGTAGATTTATGTGTACTGATATGAAAAGATCACCAAGACATATTGTCAAAATACATACAGCATGGTGTCGTATGCACACAAACTTCAAATGTGTCCCATGTCCTCCCTTCCTCTCTCTCCACTATGCACACAATGCCTAGGACAAGGTCTGAAAGGACAGATGGCTACTTAAGGATTATCTTTGGGGAGGAAAAGGCCAGTAAATTCGTAGTTGCTTTAAAATGAGACTTTTTATGCAAAACTGTTTTACAAAAAGAATCATCTTCATTAATTATTAATACTTATAATTAAGAAAATAAAACAACTGTAGCTAAGAAAAAAAATGCTATCTACTGACTGTCAAAATTTTAATGGCAATGACTAAATGCCAAAGTTTCAATGTGGACTAAATATGTATTAGGTCATTTAAAATGTTCACATTATTTTTAATTAAAATTTCCCTTCTAGAAATCTAAATTAAAATGTGTCTGAATGCGTCTGTGTATACATACTAAAAACAGGATAAAAAACACAAATGTATTTTAAATTTTAACAGAATAAATGCACTAACCAAAAACACCTAAATATCACAGAGCAAGAATATGTAAATTAATCACTTCAGTGCACAGTACACATTTTGCAAACATACAAAGTGATTTAATAATATAAGAATGCAGAAAAATTTAAATATGCTTATGTTGAAGAGTAATTACAAAATTGTATGAAGATAAATGCACTTACACATGTATAGGAAAAAAGAAAATTATACTAAAATCTTTAAGAATGTGAATTATTTTAGGACAATATGGTTAAGAATTTCATTGCTTTTTTACTACATGTTCTGTATTATATGTGTCTGCTTCTTCAATTATGTTCATTTTAATCCCCTCATTGCACGCTATTTTGTTCTAATCTGAAATGGGATTCTGACTTGCATTTGTACTCACTCTTGGTTGCTCAGTGAGGCAGTCCTTCTGCGTTTGACTTGGACTTCCACCTCTGGTACGTGCTGTTCTGTAGTTCGTCTCAGGTGTAAGCGATCCCTGAAACAGAAAAGAGAGGGATTTGTTTGGTAGACTGCATCAATCTATGAAATAACTATTTGTCAAGGTTATATTTAGAACTACATTTAATATAATGGATTTTTAAATCTAATTAAAACAAGTTAACATTATTACAAGATCTTTAACCTTCAAACAGTCAGAATCTATGATATAACCACTTCTTTTCTCCTTTTAGAAGCCCATGACATCAGAAAACCTGGTTTTAAAAAAATGAGGAAATTAAAATAATGTATCTACCTCTATTTGTAGTCATGTACATATAATATTCCCACTTATGCAGAGATATATACACACATTACACCACTGCCCTACTTACCTTCCCTCCAAAAGCTGTAAACCTGATTTCAAAAATGGTTTCAAAAATATTTTTAGGATACAATAGACATACTTTTGTAGAGTAGAATAGAACATAGTTTAAATTATAAAATATCTACTTAAAAAAAACATGCAAATAGCGCTTTCTTTAGGATTTGCAAAGCAACAGAAGAGTTGCCCAGGCTAAAAACTATCCACATAGCAAAAACAAACAAAAAAAAAACCCTGCCATGTTATGTCTGCAGAACCCCTCACAAAATGGCTGCTCAAGGGAACAGAACATGAAATCAGAAACAAACACTCAGACTAGCCATATTAAGGACTGCAGAAACCACCTATGAACCCTTAAAGATGATAAATCAGAAAAGTCAGCAAAGTAACACAAGTAACAACTCAAAAGCAAAATTCAAAAGATAAATGCCAAAAGCTATTAATAATTCTCTGAACCCTGATGTTAAGTCATGTTAGACTTTTAGATTGGTAAAATAGCTTACCAATAACACACAGCTGTTTTATTCCTTCGAGTTTAAATGTTCTAATCAAGCCATACACACAGATTTGATTTCTAAATGGTAAACTTTTATACACTGATAATGTTTATTACTTTTGATTACACAATGGCCTATTAAATATAACACCTGAATTACAAGCAGTATAAGAAGTAAAGAGGACTTCATCAAAAAAAGTTCCGAAAACACTAAAGAAAGTGAAAGGATAACCAGAATAGGAAAAAACTTTTGATAAACATACAGCTGTTTCTAGTATCCAAAACAAACAAACAGAAAATCCAAACAATGAAAAAAAAAGATGGTAGGGAGAGGCAAAGGAAAACTTTTTCAGGTGATAGATACATTTATGCCACTAATTTTGATAAGACAATGATTTCAAAGGCATGTACTTATCTCTTAGCATACCAACTTTTAACATTAACTATCTACAGCTTTTGTATGTCAATCACACCTCAAAAAAGTATTTTTTCAAGTTTGGTATCAGGAATATGTAAGGAACAACATACAACTCAACAATAAAAGGGCAAATTCTACTGCTACAATGGGTAAAACACTTGAATAGACAGTCTTCCAAACATATACAAATGGCTAATCTATATGAAATGATGCTGAACATTAGTCACTAAAAAAATGCAAATCAAAACCCCAATGAGGCAGGGCGCAATGGCTCATGGAAGGCTGAGGCCAGACAATCACTTGAGCTCAGGAGACAAGCCTGGGCAACATCTGTATGAAAAAATACAAAAATTAGCTGAGTGTGGTGGTGCATGCCTGTGGAGCCAGCTACTCAGGAGGCTGAGGTGAGAAGGTACTTCAGCCTAGGAGGCAGAGGCTGCAGTGACCTGAGATCATGTCACTGGCACACCAGCCTGGGTGACAGAGCCAGACCCTGCCTCAAAACAAAAAAAAACCCACTGAAATGCCACCATCTGACACCACAATATTTGTGAAGGATGTGGGGAAATTGCTGGTGGAAACAAAGTGGTATATATAGCCTTTGCCTACTTCCTAAAAATGTTAATCATGAAAGTAACATATGACACTAACTCTACTGCTAGATGGAGTAATATTACAAGACCCAAACTCAGCCTCCAAAGCAGCTGGGATTACAAGCGTGTACCACCACACCCAGCTAATTTTTGTATTTATAGTAGAGACAGGGTTTACCATGTTGGCCAGGCTGATGTCGATCTCCTGGCCTCAGGTGATCTGCCCACCTCAGCCTCCCAAAGTGCTGGGATTACAGGCATGAGCCACTATGCCCGGCCAGTTCATGTTCTTTCTATTATACCTGCAGCCTTCCCAGCTTCCACTACACTCTCATACTTCCAAAAAGACAAAATTTCAAGAACCTGGCATATATTAGGGCTACGTAAAACTTTGTGAAACTAATTCTTTGTATTAAACATATTATACATGTTCCTAGTAGCATTATTCATAATAGCCAAAGAGTGGAAACAACTCAAATGTCCATCAACTTACGAATGAAGAAAATATGGTATATCCAAAGGAATATCATTCAGCCATAAAAAGGAATTTAGTACTGATGAGTGCTACATTATGGTGGCCAAATATAGCTAAAAATGTAGTACATTAATATAATACAATTAAACTATCAACTAAACCATGATTAATCTAATAGTATACAACTGCAAACACTGTCTTACCAAAAAACAAACAAAAACCGGCAGTTGCTCAATATGAAAGGTCTGAGGTCAACTGAGGAAACAGCCATCAAACCAAAATATTCTATTATCCCATTACTTCAACTTTCTGAATTTACCCTTTTTGTGTGTGTGTGAGACAGAGTCTTGCCCTGTCACCTCGAGTGGAGTGCAGTGGCATGATCTCGTCTCACTGCAACCTCTGTCTCCCAGGTTCAAGCAATTCCTCTGCCTCAGCCTCCCAAGTAGCTGGGGCTACAGGCGTGTGCCACCATGCCTGGCTAATTTTTATATTTTTATTAGAGATGGGGTTTTACCATATTGGCCAGGCTGGTCTTGAACTCCAGACCTCGTGATCTGCCCGCCTCGGCCTCCCAAAGCACTGGGATTACAGGTGTGAGCCACCACACCCAGTCCAAATTTATCTTTTTTTAAATGTAGAGACGAGTTCTCACTACCCAAGCTTGAACTCCCAGGCTCCAACGATCCTCCTGCCTTGGCCTCCCAAAGTGCTGGGATTATAGACGTGAGCCACCACACCTGGCTTAAATCTACTTATTTTTAATCTACATATAAAATGTCATCTATGAGGTTTATTTTGAAAACACTGGTTTATTGAATGTTCTAGATACATACACACATGCTTTATCTAACTGCATCCCCAACACAGAAACCAACATTTTATGAAACTGAGGATATCACGAAAAAATCATCATATATACATGGTGTTAAATATTTGCCCTCAAATCACTTACACTGAAAGTAACAATCTGGAAATACATTGAAAAGCAAAAAGCAATGGGATCCCAATTTTATTATGGCCTAAATTTTCCATAAAATTTACGATGTCAAGAATAAAAATAAACAAACAAACAAACAAAGTTGGCCAGGTACAGCAGCTCATGGCTGCAATGCCAGCATTTTGGGAGGCCTAGGCAGGAGCACTGTTTGATTTCAGGAGTTCGAGACCAGTCTGGGCAATATAAGGAGATCCCTCTCCACAAAAAAATAAAAAGTTAGCTGGGCATAGTGCCTCAAGCCTCTAGTAACAGGTACTTCGGAGGCTGAGGCAGGAGTTTAGATCGATCCAGGAGTTTGAGGTTACAGGGACCTATAATTACACCACTGCACTCCAACCTGGGCAATACAGACAGACCCTGTCTCCTAAAAACAAAAAAATAAGGTTAATGATAGCCTGCTAATCTGTATCCCACGAACACAAGAAACCTCAGTGCCTCCAAAATAAAACCTGGGGAGGATTAACAACAAGAGAATTTGGGCCAGCCACAGTGGCCACAGAGAGACTGAGGAGGGAGAGGATATAGCTTGAGTCTAGCTGTTCGAGTCCAGCCTGGACAACATAGGGAGACCCTGGTCTATTAAAAAAAACAAAAACAAAAAAACTCTGAGCCAGTTAGCATGCAGAAATGGAGAGAGGCTGCCTTAGGTAGTAACAATTCTCACTCAAGCTTTCTGGCTCTGGGCCACAAAAAAAAAAAAAAGGGACAGGACCAGCGACAAATCTTTGCGTGGAAGAAGTAAGATTTTTAAACCTTCATTGTCCCAGTCACTGAGGGCAGTACTCACAACCTGCTTACTTAAATGATTCTTTATAAAAATAGCTATGTAACAGAGGGCAGTGGCAAAGGAGGTCATCTTGAAATCCTTGACACCTTATAAACTAAATTTTTTGTAAAACAAAAATGTTTATTAGGAAAAACAACAGGGTAAGGGAAGCATAAAGATATAGAGTAACTATAAATGGGGAAAACATTTCAGCAATGACACACTGGTCCGACAGAATAGCGAAATTAAGATAAGGCAAGGTCTGTGAATAAACCCAAACCAGCTACTACCCTGCCTGAGACAACAATATAAGGGTCTCTCAACCAAGCTTCCTTCCTCTGCATCACAAGAAGGCCTGCCTCACTCCCCGCCTCCAAAAAGCCCTAGCACAGAGCCAATTCACTGAATAGGACACAGACCTTGAAACTTCAAGAGGCCTTTCCAAAGGGATCTGCCATATTGGGATCCCGGGCCTGAATGCAAGACTACAAAATGGCGGACCAGACTAAATACTCAGCTTGCAAATAGCCAAATGACCAGAAGTTAAACCAAGAAATACATGTATGTTAAGTGCTATCTCCATGCAAGCAGGAAAAAAAAGTAAATTATAAGTATCATATAAAATCCCAGACTCCTGCTATTTTTAAAACTACCCAAAAACAGATTATTCCAGAACAAGGCTTTTCGGGCTTCGTAGATGTAACCTTTCTGTTACTTACAACTCAGTGCAACCAGACATACCAGTTATGATAGAGGGAAAATGTAAATACAAAAAAGGCAAGCACTGAAAGTCCTGCGAAGGAAGACAAAATCCTTAGAATAAAATGATTTTTTTTAAAGTACTGGAATATAAAAATGCAGTTATTCATTAACCTTTCTCACCAAATTTTTGTAGCTCCAACTTCAAAAATGATCATCATTAATT